CTGGGGCTCACTGACAGAAGCGGGGCTGCCGTACACTGGCGCCACCGGGCCCTCTGACCACCATCTATAGACAATGCAGGTGAAGTGTCTTGCCCAAGGACACAACGACACTGAAAGTCGGAGTCAGGGCTTGAACCGTCAACCCTTCGATTTCAGGGCAAACTCCTACATCCAACGCCACTGTCGCCCCCAAAGGCATAATGGCGTAATTTCACTACCTCACACACTAGTGAGTGGTATGTTCCTTGAAACTTTAAAATGTAAATATTAAATTAAACTGTGCTAATATAGTAGTATATATATCAGTTATTCACTACTTGAATAGTCTTTTTAGCAACTATTTTAGTCTTAATTTATGTTTTGCTTGGAAAGGAACTTTTTACTTTTACTTGATTAAAAGATGATGAAGTACTGCCACTCTTACAAGAGAACAATTTCTGGGTACTCTACCCATCTTTGCTAGTAGGTGTATTGGCAGATGGCTGGAGGCAGTTTCCTACCTTTTGTTATCACCCTGAGGTATTGGCAGCCAGAACAATCTAATCCTTCAAAATTCTTTAGTCTGTAAAACTTTTTGTTAACAAAAGTAGAAAGGTTTTGTATGTAATGCTATGAACCTGCCCCTCAATGGAAGGCATTAAGGGACAGTGGGTTGGGATCATATTCTTAAACTTTGGTAGAGGTATCAAGTAACGAAGAACAAATAGTGTGTTACTGTACTTACTGTAAGTACACTTTTTAGGTATCTATACTTTACTTCATTACTGAATTTTCTTCAGATTGACTTCTACTCATTGCATTTTCACACAAATATCTGTACTTTCTATTCCTTACGTTTTTAAAACAAACGTTACTCGTTACTCTTGGCTTCGGTTTAATGTTTATAAATATTTATTTCCCGTCATGTGCTCCATCCAATGCAGATCATTGGCTCCATCCACATCTAGTGAAAACTAGTGTGATTGGATGAGTCATATAACGCAAACACTCATTGGTTAGCTAAAGGAAATCATCAGAAGCAAGCAGGTGTTCTTCAAACTGCTAACGTGAATTGTCTATGCCATGCTACAATGTCGGATTCAGAAAAAGATGTTGAAATGTCTGAAAGATCAGACACAGGCGAGAGCGTATTGGGAGACGGAGACCAACAAGACCTCTCTCATCCTTGGCCCTATCGCCAAGAATTTTTCAAAATAGTCGAAAACAAATTGAGCTTTCAGTTCATAAAGTGGCATCTGGCTGTTATTTTTTTAAAGGTTACTTTATACTTTTATACTTTAAGTAGTTTTTGGAGCACATACTTTTCCACTTTTACTTGAGTAAAGAGGTCAAGTTGATACTTCAACTTTTACCAGAGTGTTTTTAAACTGCAGTATCTATACTTCTACTGAAGTAACAAATGTGTGAACTTTTGACACCACTGAAGTTTGGTACAACAGTTGGAGAGCAATGGGCCAAAGTAGAGAAGTAACTGGAACCTGTTTCGCTGTACCTTGCAGGTTGGTCACTTCTCTAATGTGGTGAAACAGGATTTCTCTGTTAAATCACATCAATGGGAATAAGACTATATTTAGAAAACTGCAATCTAAAAAGGAAATGCAGCTCCAACTAAATATCTTCAATTTGAAACAAATAATTGAATCAAGTTTGCAAAAAGGTAATCTATTTAAGCTTTAAACTCATAAACCTAAAAATCAAGTTGGATCAACTGTCACTTGTAACCAATTCATGCAATTATTTTAAATTGGAGCAACATTTGCTTTTTAGTGTGGTTTAAAAAAAAAGATAAAATGATTATCTCTTATTTGCTCTTCTTAGACCGAGTTCAATGAATATGGCAGAGATATGGCACAATTCTGCACCAGACTTACCGTCTAGCAGGACAATGAACCAAATCAAAACATATTCATGTTTTCACCCTCCCTGATTAAGCTGTGAAAAAACAAACAAAAAACAAACAAACAAAGAATATATTTAAATACTAAGGATTTTTTCATCACTAATTTGATCTAAAGGGAATCCTCCTTCAGAGACCAGGGAGGGTGTTTAAAAGGATGGTCTGAATTTCAAAAAAAGTAAAAAAAAAAAAAACAATCCGCTGGACTTTGTTTCCAAGTTTGAAAACGTTTTGCTTCCCATCCAGGAAGCTTTTTCAATTCAAAATTTCAGAAATAGCACTGAGTTTGAGGTTTTATACAGTAGCCCAACAAAGCCTTGTTTTTGTTTTGAAAATATGCAAATTGAAACGGACGAACAGGTCCAACCCTTAGGAATGGGGGTCGTTTGGCTTCTTTTGTTAGCCTGCAATGCCCCATACCTGTCTATGTCTTTGAAAGGGGGGTTGTTAAAGGAAATTGTTAGCCTGGTTTAACAGGCAAGCTCTTCTGTTCCCCTGTAAAGGGGTTGGGGCTGCAATGATAGCGATGCAATCACTGCATTGTAGGTTTTTTAAAGCTGAAATCTGAGCCCACCCCCTCTGTTAAAGGTTTTTTTTCTTTCTTAACATAGATGGCTTCCTTCATGCACCTCTCAAACCAACAATTTTCTTTGTCCAAAATGTGAACATGTGGGTTTCAAAAGAATGTCCTTTGTCCATTAGGTGCAGATGTACCGCAGAGTCTTGTCCAGAGGAGGCCGCTCTTCTGTGTTGGGCCATGCGTCTGTGGAGAGGTTGTTTGGTTTCTCCAATATAAAGATCAGAGCATTCCTCACTGCATTAGGCTGTATACATCACTCTGCTCATATTTGGTCTGGGGCTTTTGTCTTAAGGATGCACTAGTCTCTGTTTAAGGGTCTTGTGGTTTAAAATGTACTGGCATTTTGCGTTTGGATAAATTCCTCTTGAGTTTTTCAGAGACTCCAGCAACATACTGGATGGCAATGGTCTGCATGTTTTTCCCTAGAATGTTTATATTTCCCTCCCAAACTTTCTTCCAATTATAGATGATCATAAAACTTTTTTTTTGTATATCCAGTTATCGGCTTACAATCATTTTCAGAACAATGTTTTTGTTTGCTAAGCCTCTTACCTCTGACATTCACATCAGTCAGGAATGCAAAGTCTTCTATGTTACAAGGGATTAACCTGAGTTGTTTCCAGGAAAGAATCCATCTTAAATGCCATATTGAGGCTCTTTGCCACTAGAAGCTTGTCACAAATACACCATTTGCTGCATTAAAGACTAATACCACAGATAATACTGTTTGGCAGACAGAAAAAGCAGTATTTTAACTTGAACAAGGTAAAATACACCTTAGCCCTAGCTGTGCTGGATGGGTTTGGCCTTTAGGCCTTTGTCCCTTCGGCTGCTTCATGTTTTCAGTCTCTCCTGCATTCAAGTCCTTCCCGTAAACTCAGAAAGACATGATGCAGGTCTGTTGTTTCTCAGATTAGCCAGCAGGCCAGCTTGGTTTGAGCAGGGGTTGAAGAGTGATGGTTTAGGGCCTGCCATTCAGGAGATCTCCCCAATGTGACTTTCCTGGGAGAGAGAGTAGAGGCAAAAGAGGATGGATCTGAGAGCAGATGCTTTTTGTCCCAATTATGCCTGCAGACGGGGTTGTGAAGCTTTTAGTGTTTGCAGAGAAACCATTGGTCCCCAATGTCTACGCCTTATGGCATAACAGAAGTAAACAACTGATTTAATTTCTATCAAAAAGAAAAGAATGTGGAGTGAATTGGTTTTTTAGCTCTCTGGTGCTATTGTAGAGTTTTGTAGAGTTGCAAATGATGCCTCTGAAAGCTTTGAAAATGTAGAGACAGAATATTTTGCCCATCCTTCTTCACTGAATAGCTTATGTTATACTGGATATAAAGAACGGCCAGTATTTAAGGCTTTGTTTGCTATCAGATATAATCACAATGACACGCAGAGGCCTGTTGCTGCATTCTGACAAAAAAAAAATAAAAAATCTGTAGGGTTTGAACAGCTTTTGCAGCAATTTTTTTCTTAATTTGTGAGACTTCTAATGATTTCATCTTTGCAAAGCATTGAAATATTGTTACATTTTGTACAAGGTCAGATCAAAGACGCACATGATCTCAAAGGATATAAGTTAAGCCGACATGCTGCTAATGATATTACGTTATTCCTTTATCGCAATTGCTGTACCATTCTGACAGGAAATGCTATGTATTAGAACACAGACACTGATGACTTGCCTTGGTGACCTTAGCTGTTATCACATTTTTTTTTCCTTATCAGTTGCACAACCCCCCAAACTTCCTCTATCAGCTATTGTCATTGCATCTTTGCTGTTTTTCCTGACGTTTCTTCTAGGTTTTGCATGCATTAGCTTGAAAAAGCAGTAAAGAAATGACATAAATTTAAATGCACATAATTTTTGTCTTCTTCTTTTTAAAAACTGTCCCAAAAAAGGTTAACCGTCCTCCCACAGATAAGTCTGGTAGAACAGACAGCAACCAGTCATCTCGACTAAAGGAAGTTGTGGCCAGACTTCTGCATAACACAGCTCTCTGTCAAACACGTGGAGCACCCCTTTGAATAAAACTCCCCGTACATTCAGTACCACAGACACAAACTAAACAAGATGTTTATGAAGAACACAGCCGTCACATGGTGAAACCATGCCGAGACCTACTTCTACTTTCCAAAGATACGCAAAAAAAAAAACACTCATGTGACAACAAAGAAGAGATATATAGCACTTTATTTTCTTAAACCTTTTTACAATACAACCGGAGCAAAGAGTAAGAATTTTCAGAAAAGGCTAAAGTCTTGTTGTTGCATTTTGTCCTAGAATATGACAGAGAAAATGTTGCTCTCTTTTGTATTTGCATCTGTTTGCATAACCTATTACATTAGCTTGTAAAATCCATCATGTTCCAAAAAGAAACGAGAAACGACACCAGAACTCGTAGTATTTCTCCATGGCTTTGGTTCATCTTAAATCAAAATTGGGTTTTATCCATAGCGTGACTTATCAGACTTATCAGCTCAGCAGTTTTGATTTCAATGTGTTCAGATACTTTTTCATAATGAGTGTGCTGTTCTCCCCCAGACCACCAACATAGTGGTTTTCGGCTGCACGCCTGCTTAGTTTAAAATGAGACAGAGTTGATTCATAAATTTCTTCAATAAATGGATGTTTTAGCTTGAATTACTGAAAGTATGGTAGTCCAGTAATGCCAAAACAATACATTGGATAATTAACTGAATTGTGATAATGTGGTTGTAATAAAGATGGTGGACAGACAGACAAGATATATGTATGTATAAATAAATATGAGTGACATATCAGTACTGTTAATTTAATCCTTAATTCATTTTGTTTAATAACTTTACAGTTATTTCACTATTTTTATTACTTCATATTGCTCATCACAATGGGATAAATTATTAAAGCTCTGGATTGGCAAACCTTCACAATTACATTACTGCAGTCAAATGAAGGTGTCAACAGAAAAGTTTCCACACACACAGAGTCTGATGTAAGCGATTTTAAGCTCAATAACTCAAGATAACATAATTAAATATTGTAAATCATTTAATAATTGTATGATTTCTAAAACATCATCCAACTTTTACAAAATTATTTACACATTTAAATGTGTATTAAATAGTGTCAGGATATTGAAGTTATTGTAGTGAAATTAATTTTCTAATTTAAAGTGTTTATTTTCAGACATTTTTTTTTTAAATCAAAACATGTAAAAAATATCTTATTACTTATTAATTCAAGCAAACCAAACATGTGACACTTTTAGACTTCCACAGAGGAAGTGAGGAGGCATTTTTCCATTTCTAGCACTCTGCTGCCACCTAGTGTTTGAGTGGTGAACTTTTTTTCCCCTACCCTGTCGACAGGATCCACAATTTGCATTGCACTCAAAACAGCCACACCCTAGCAGAATATATTCAGGTTGTAAGCTTTAAAAAAAGAAAGAAAGAAAAAAAAAAAACAACTAAAGTGCACAGACAGAAAGAAACTTTGAGCTGTGAGTAAACCCAAGACATGAATATATGTTTGCAAATTACAATGAGGACAAAAACCTGTTAAACAAATTAGCATTTCTTTCGGCATAATCAATCAAAGTTGTGATAATACTTAAAAATGAGGAAATGGGTTCATATAATCTTAGACTTCTGAAAAAGAATTATCAAGGGAAATGTGCACAGTCTAAAATATTATCTCTATCTTAACATAGTTAAAATAATAAATGTTCTGGAGGTGTAACTCACTACAGAATCACACAGGCTGAGAAAAACAAAACTACATCTCCTAAGCTTAGAATGAGGATGGTATGGCATAAACCTGTTATCCACACAGCATCATAGAAAGCTACAGCAGATCAGAGCCCAACAGGAGAATTTCACAGGGGCCTTTCATTTTGAACAGTCACCTCGAGTCGGCTTTCCTCAGGAGTCCCTGATAGATGTCAGATTTTAGGAAGCGCGGGTAGCAATCCCTCGCCATCAAGCTGTAGATCAGCTTCTGTGCTGTGTCAAAGGAATTCAGGGTCGGCTGGGAGATGTTCTTTGTGATGTTTTCTCTGGTAGTGCAGTCGATGTTGATCTGAAATCAAGCAACATAGCCCGGAGCGGCATTACAACCGTCCCATTCTGAATAGAAATCACACCATCTGACACTGCTTTACCTGTCTGGGTGCATCTGTCTGGACAAACTCTGAGTAGATGCTGTTGGCGGAGGAGATCATCTCTGGGACGGTCTTGATTTTCTTGTAGTCCTCGCAAGCGAGCCAAAACAGTATGTTCTCCTCGCTGTATTCAGACTTCAGGAACTCCCGGAAAGCTATCTGTCCGGCTGTAAAAGAACAGGGCAGGAGTAAGAAGGAGCTGCGTTTGTAGAGGCAAACGCTTAAGATGCAAAGCTTAGATCTCACCTTTGCTACTGAGGACTTTATCCACAGATTCGCTCCAAGTCTCAACTTCGTCCAGTGGATCCTTGGGAAAGCAACAAAATCTACCCTTGAAAAGAGCATCAAGAGCTATGACTAGCCAAGTTATCTGTTAACATTGCATCCTTCCTAAAAAAAACCCTCATAGGCCAAGTCAACACAATCACTTTTACAATGCCGCCCTAATGCAACCTCCTTGTAGAGGTAAACCAAAAGCAAAATGAGACTTACAGTGAGTGAAAAACTCCATGGTGTTTTCCACATGGTTGCTGTGTGGTGTTGCTGCTGAAATGTGTTAAAGGTCCAATAATCATACATGCAGTAACTCACTTTATCGCCATCTCCTCGTCTTCTACAACGGGCGAAGGAGATAAGGTCGGGCCAGGCTGAAGCTCGGGTTGTGACCGTTTGGAAATGTGAGAGTCAAACGACTGAGCAAATCTAAATGATCCCCCCATCGACTCCCCCCCCCTTCCGGCGACACCCCACCCAATGTGAATGGAATATATGGAAATGTGTATGCAAAATGTTGTTGTTGGGAGAACCAGGGCATCCTACCACAGCTGTGGCAAGTTGAGGAGGAAAGGGTTGAGCCGTGATTTAGGCTGACCTAACCTGTCGGCCACAGTGGTGGTTATCACTAATGTGTAGATGTGCTAAGATTAACAAGGAATAAATAAAGGACTCGGATAATTCAAGCTTGAGCGCTTGAGTCTAAAACTAATTAACAGATTAATTAGAATCCGCTCAACTATATCTTAATTTAAGAATTAGAGTCTATAAGGATAGATGCATTTCTGGGTTGGGGTTCTACATTTTGAACTTTAAAAACTAAGCTTACTTAAAACAAAATGTAAGAGATTTTGAAGCTCTGAAAAAAAAAAAAAGTTCATGACCATACGCAAATAGCTGTAAACAAATATGCTGTCCGGGAACAATACTCGTCATCCTGCAGTTTGCATCTCAGCAGTGCTGCTCAGGAGACAAAAGCTGCACAAGCACTGATTTATTATCCGGCCCTCATGCACTGTGACAGAACATTAAAGAGATTATTTAAACTCCCCAGGGCTCCTCTTCTGTAGCGACCGGAAGACGGGACTCCAGGAGCCAAAGACTTGTGTGAGAAATCTCTGAAGTTTCAAAAGAGCAAAAAAAAAATTTTTTAAAAGTTGCTGAAACCAAAACTTTAGTTACAAAAAAAGAATAGGTGCAGATTTCACTTAAATAATTCTGTTTAAATCACAACATGCTTCTGCTTTACTACACTTGCTCAGCTTTAATAAACAATGTTTAACTCTGCTCTTCAGAGTATCCAGATGCAGTATAAAGAATTTTATATAAACTTCAGCATTAAAAGCATGTATTGTTTCACCACTAACTGTAGCGTTTACATGCAGCAGAAATGTTAGGAGTCTGGAGGTTATTCTTTATCCATTTAACAGTATTTATGCAGCAATAGCTGCTAATATTAGAATATTTTAATTCAAAACAACAAAGCTCAAACTTTATTTATAGAGCACATGAAAAAAAAAAAAAAAAAAAAAACGCAGTGATGACTAAGGGAAAGAAAGGTAATTAATTAACAATTCAATTAAGATGTTTCCCCAAGGTTCCATCAAAGGTTTATTAAACGCTAGAGAGAAAAAATGTGTCTTAAACCTCAACTGATTGAATGTGCCAAGGCGGGTTACTCCAAAGCCAAGGGGCCACCGCAAAAAAGGCTCAGTGACCTTTAGTTTTGTTTTAAGGTTGACTAATAGTAGCTGATTAGAGGATCTAAATGTTTTGGCAGAGTGTGGATATAAAGCAGCTCAGTCAAATACGGAGGGCTTGCGTTTGCTGGTGAGGAGACAAGCAGCTTTTTTTTGTACCGACTGCAGGCATTGCAAGAGCGAGAGGTCCATGCCATCATCAGGAAAATTACAGTAATCCAGTCTTGTTTAAATAAAAACATGGATTATAGTCTCCAGCTCTCTATGTGACACGTATCCGTTTACTTAAAAAAAAAATCTCAAATGGTAAAAAAACTATTTAACATGACCTGGAGGTCAAGTTTCAGCCTTTTTGATTTCTTACAAAAGACTTACACTGGAAAAACGTTCTAGAAATAAGTAAAAATTTCTTAAATTAACTGTATTTGCCATTAATTTGAGTAGGTGAATGAGTTAGTTTGCCAATGGAATGAGTATTTTTAATCTTAAAATAAGATATTTAGATAATATGCACTTGAAATAAGACAATGAAATTGGGTTTTCTTATTTTAAGTGTAAATTGTCTTGTTCCATTGGCAAAATGTCTCTTTTAGCTCCTAAATCCAAGAACAAATGCACTTATTTGAAGAAAAAATTACTTATCTAGAATTCGATTTTTTCCAGTGTATTGTTTGGTGTAAGATTATGATTTCAGAATTATTTTCAATAGGATTAAAAAAGTTTGAGGTCATCCAAAAACAATGTCTGTATAATAATCACTGGATTTAAATCTCAAAGATTGACATATATGGACATCAAAAGTGTAAAATTGATTTAAAAGTTTATGCACTGCATGAAATGTAAATCTAAGTAGGTCAGTTTTTATTAAAATCAGTGCATTTTTCTCTGTTTGAGCAGGTCAGACAATGCACATCCGAAGTAAGACAAAAACAACTACATTCTCTTATATCAAGTCCATATTATCTATTTATCTTTTTTAAGGGTAAAAATACAAATTCTATTTGCAGATCATCTTATTTACCTACTCAAATGACAGGTAAATACACATATTTTAATAAATGTTTACTAATTTTAGGTCGTTTTTGCACCCTAATGGCAGAATATATAGCAAATGAGAGAATTAGTCAGCCTTAAGGGACTAAAGAAGTAAGAGAGGCAGAGTTTAAGGTAAATTCAGCAATCTGCATAGAAAAAAAAGGATCAGCGATTGTCTAAAATTACAAGCAGAACTTTATGGATAAAGACGTTGCTCACCTGCCTTGACTCACATATGAGCTTCAGTGACATCCATAGGGGTTCGATATGATGACAGGCTGACCTTTGCTGCTAGAACAGCTTCAACTCCTCTGGGAAGGCTTTCCAAAAAGTGAAGGAGTGTGTTTATGGGAATTTTTGACCATTCTATTAGAAGTGCATTTGTAAGGTCACTCATAATGCACAATATCACTGATGTTAGACAAGAAGGCTTGGCTCTCAATCTCTACTCTAATTCACCCGGAAGATGTTTTATCCGGTTGAGGTCAGGACTCTGGACAGGCCCGTCATCTGGGAGCATGGAGTTGTCCAAAATTTGTTGGTATGCTGAAGCATTCAGAGTTACTTTCTCTTGAACAAAGGGATAAGCTTAGCTTCTTTAAAACAACCCCACACCATTATCCCCACTTCACCAAACTTTACACAGTGCTGTCAGACAGCACAGTTGTCCTGGCAACCAACAAACCCAGACTCATCCATCATATTTACAGATAGAGAACCACGAGTCATCACTCCAAAGAACTTGTGACTTTGCATTGCACTTGGGGATGTATTTCTTGGGTGCAGCTGTTCGACCATGAAAACCCATTCCAAGAAGCTTTCTGTCCACTATTCTGGAGCTAATCTGAAGGTCACATGAAGTTTAGAGGTGTGTAGTGACTGACTCTGAAGAAAAATCTCTTTACACTGCATCTGCATCTACTGACCCGGCTCCATCAGGCTACATGGCCAACCACTTCATGGCTGAGTTGCTATTGTTCCCAAACACTTCCATTTCTTTTTGAAACAGCTGAATCTTTTTTGTTGAATATTTAGGGGTGAGGAAATTTCACAGCTGCATTTGTTGCACAGGTGGCCTCCTATCCCACTTCCACGGTGGAACTCACTGAGCTACTGAGGGAGTTTGTAACAACACTCATCATTTTGGTGGTTAAAAAAAAATTCCGTAGCAATTCCGCTGAAAACTGTTATTTATTTCCTGTATATATTTCTGAAGTATCTAAAGTCGGTCAGACTATCTAGGAACTTTTAATTAATGAGTCTTGAATTTCTGTTTCCCTGGAGTATAAATATGATGTGACACAAAGGTCTGATTCTCTTACCAATTTGTCAACATGGCAAAGACAAGAGAACATGCAATGAAGGCAGATGTATGTCAACCTTCATAACTCAGGCAATGGCTACAAGAAAATAACCTCTCACTTGCCCGTATCTACAGTCAGAGGAATCATTGAGAAGTTTTAAAAAAACAGGAACAGAGACAAACAAGGCTGGAACACTCCCAAGTTTATCTCGCCACAACGCACAGTGAGAGGGATGGTAAGAAAAGTAAAAAGTCCTACACTCACTGTCAGAATTGCATCAAACTGTTGAATCTTGGAGTCATAAAGTCTCCAAAACATCCATCACACACTCTCTACATGCCATCAAGCTGTTTGGGAGGCATGCAAGGAAAAAGCCTTTTCTCACCAACACCAAACGTAAACACCTGGAGACTAAGATTGAGCTTTTTTGGCAACAAAAACTCTAATTGGGTCTGGTATAAAGAAAAAGATGAGTATGCCAAAAAGCACCTCATGCCCAGTGTGAAGTAAGATGGAGGATCTGTGATGCTGTGGGCCTGTTTCTCTTCTAATGGCCCTGGGGACCTTGTTAGAGTGCATAGCATTATGGACGCTTTGAAACATTTAAAATAAAAAAAACATCTTTAAACATAATAATGATCCAAAACATGTGGGAAATCTAAACAAAAAGGGTTTAGCAGAGACCAACTTAAGGTGCTCCCATGACCATCTCAGTGCCCAGACCTTTTTTCTTCCGTCCAGCTTTTATTGTAAAAAAAAAGTACACTGTCAGAAGAACAAGAACAGAGAAATGAAATTAACTCTCTGCATTTAACCCCTCCCTTTGTGGAGCAGTAGGCTGCCATTGTGCAATGTCTGGGGAGCAGTGTGGGGTTAAGGGTCTTTCTCAGGGACCAAGAGTGGCAGTCTGTGGCAGTGGGATTTAAACTCAGAACCACTGGATTCCAATTGCAGTGCCCTAACCACTAGGACACCACTCCCCTAAAGACCTCCATCCAAATTAAAACCTACGACGCGACCCAGGACACTGGATGACCTAGAAAGACTGTGCAAAGAGGAAGTGTCAAAGTTCCCTCTCTCTGTGTTCTCCAGTCTTCTAAAATGTGATAGGAGGAGATATAGAAGTACTGTCTTTAGGGCACAAGGGGGTTGTACAAAGTATTAACATCAGGGGTGCCAATAATTGTGAGACACATGATTTTTTTTTCTAAATGTGTGATTTTTTTTTACCACCAAAGAAATGTACTTAAATAAAAGGTTGGA